GAATCACCCGTTTCCATCCGGGTGGCCAAAACTCCACCCCGGTACAATCACTATTATCATTACACTTTGCACAAATCGAACCCTAGTGTAGTGACAAGACACGTCAACTCGTGACTCGAGTAATGTATAGTTATTTGGCATGATGCAACAATTGCATCGTGATCTGTGTGATCACGATTTTATTGTTGCACATGACAAATAACGGAAGTATTTTGTGTGGAATTTGATCGGGAGATGTCTGGGCCCCGCAGGGGCCCAGACATCGACCGGTCAAATTCCACACAAAATACGTCAGTTATTGGTGCGGAGCATTCAATAACGGTATTATCCGGCATCCTACGGCGATCGGGTATTGCTACGAAATTAAATTAATGACATAAACAACAATAAATTGAAATTTTTTATATAACATTTTTTTTACAATTAACTTTCTTTTTCGCTTTGACTTTTTTTTCTCTCTTTCGCTCTTGATTTTTTTTTATTTACAACAAAACGAACGAACCCATTATATTACAAAATAAAATAAATAAAATAAAATAACCGTATAAACCTAAATATCGCAAAGTTAATTAATAACGTATTCCTGTGAACACTTGAAAAGCCATAAGATTTTAGAAGCATGGCTGTATAATATCATTATAACTATGAACTAAATTTATTACGAATAAGAGAGGATAATTCTCAAGAATAAGTAAGTCAGCAATAATTGAAAATTAATTTTCATGTAAATATGCAATTTTAACAGCATCAAAGTCTTTCATTCTCGCACCATTTCAATCAGCTTTAAAAAATTCTTTAATGGTGGATTTCTATCGTATTAAGCATTCTCACATTCAGGACTATCGAATAGCATTCAAAACCATCGCATTCGGGAAGCTTACAAAAAAAAAATAAGATATTAATTCATATATATATATATTGTAATTAAAATATAGCAATAACAATAAAAACTAATAAATAAAGTACTTAGCCTATGTATAAAGCTTATCTGATTGTAAAATTTTAAGTTATAATGAATTACTTAGTACAAGTTACCCAGACAAACAAATCGTGGGAACTATTTAAAGTGTATTATACCAAATAACTCGAGTTATTTGGTGAGCCCGATCATAGTAGGATGCCGGATAATTCGAAATTATCATGATTCGAATCATGAAATTTTAGCTCACGAGTTAATTAGAAGTTTAAAATGATTAATAATCTGCATTTGAACTTAATTAACAACTTTAATATGTATGTTAATTGTATTTGTTATACATCTAAATCGAATTTCGTGGATTCCGAATCAACTTGTGTTGCAATGGAATTCTAAACTGTAGAGATTCAAACTTTACTTAATAAGAGTGTTGTATGCTGGAATGAGGTTTAAATTCACACAAATCGTTAAAGAATTGCTAATCCTGGCGCAGATTCAATTTAAAAATTAAAAGCAATACATCACAAAGCTATTTATTCATATATTCTAATCACTAATTATTACAAGCGTGATTATTGGGATGACATCAAGACAATTTTGCCTTTTTACATTTTCACGATTTACAGTAGGTTACCTATTTATAACGTTAATTGTGCTTGTGAAGCTTTTCGCACACTTATAAAGGATCGGAAAATTGGTTAGGCCCTAAGAAAAATTTTTAGCCCATGCGACAAATATAATTAAAGTCACCATCTGGAAGGCTAGTCATTGAAATTAAATCCACCTTAAGCAATTTATTAGTACCGGTTGCTTTTTGCCGCGACTGAATTGAAAAAACTTATTCGTCTTGCGCAATTCTTTACCGAATTATTGCGAAACGTAACTGTCTTGAACAGAAATCTAACAATAAATTAAAATATATATATTAAATTCATTTTTAATTTAAAGTTTGAATTTAAATTACATACAGTATCTATAACTTTGAAGAGCCATGTTTTACACCTTGATGCAAACTACAAAGTATGTAATATATTCTGTCAACTTCCATACAGGGTTTGTCAATATTCCAAGCTGAACATAATCTTCTCGTGTAATACAGTAAAACAAAGGTTTTATGACGTCAATTAGCAGTTTGCCATCAAGAAATTTAATAAATTTTCAAATGAATTGCAAGATAAAAATGTATATTCTTGTAACTCGGTCATTTTAAAAAATTTACAGCGTAGAGCGATTTGACGAACAAGAATTTCAATTTCGTTTACTTTTTTTATATGAAGTTATTACTGACTTAATACTACCTAAATTTTAAATCCACTTATGAAGTGAAATCTGAATTCATCTGAATTCTCCAACCAACCGGGTCAGTTTAGAATTCCATTTCAAAACAAAAAAAAAAATTCATAGTTAGTGCGTAATCAAAGTAGAGTCTACTTGTGCGTAATCTCTTGCATTAAAAAAACGCATCAGAATAAAAAAAACTCGTAATAAAGAAAATACTGACCAGTTATTGAATAATTGTGCGCCGTGATCCTGAACGTCGTCGATGTCTTTTCAGCATGGTTTAGACCGAAAGTGCCCGTAATTTGAGCTAGATTAGCAGTAGGGAGGGTCCTATTGTAAATCCGCACGGTAATTAACGTTAACCTTTAATATTGAGTTATTATTATTGATAATTTATGTCTGGCAAGACTTCGACTATCTAAATATGGCTGATGTGATACTGTATACAACACACACACACATAAGTATTAGTTTACCTTGTGTTAGATAATATTTCTATAAATTACTTTTTGTATGTTCACGTTCGTAAACGAAAGATCTGAATTGAATTTTAACCTACAACAATGGAGGATTTGGAATTAGTAACTTCGGATATTGTTTTGCCGACGGCATGGGATATTAAAGATAAATCACCATTTATACAGATAATATGGAAATGAGAAATCCCGTAGAAACATAATCATTGATATTTAAGGAATATCATAGGTTTTAAATTTATTAAAAAACCTTTTAATTAAAGATCTTGATGACTTTAGAGCTGCTATCGTTCGAGCAAATCATCCAATCCCTTCAGAATGTGGAGTATTTTACTTTGAAATTAAAATTATAAACAAGGGAAAAAAATGGGTAATATTAATAATTATTTCGTATCATAAACACCACTTTTGTTCTTGTGATTTTTTATAATTTTTTAATTCTATTTCTTCATAGAATGATTGGAATCGGATATTGCACAAAACAAAGCGATGAAAAAATAAATGATTTATATTATATAAATAATATGCTCATGCAATTTTTATTTTATTTTCTTATTATTACAGATTAACAACTATATCATATTCTCTAGGGCAGGACTATAAGAAAAATATAAAATTAACCATGGGGTGTGGCTACCATGGTGACGATGGATATTCATTTTGCTCAGGAAGTGGTGAACCATATGATTCATTAAGTCCTCCTGGATATACTACTGGTGATGTGGTTGGATGCTATCTAAATTTTAGAAATAAGATAGTGTTTTATACTAAAAATGGAATTAACTTGGGTAACCAACATTTTAGAAACTGTAATTGTATTTTTTAAAGTAAATAGACAAATTCAATAATTATAAAATATTAAGGAATTACGTGCCATCTACCTAACGATTTGGAAGGCAATCTATACCCTTGCGTTGGATTTAGATCGCAAGGCGGATCAGTAGAAGACTTCGGCAACGAAAGGTTTAAATATTTCGGTAAATTTATTCAAAGGGTTTAATCATTTTTAGCTTGTTTAGAATTTAACCCTGTCAATATACATATATTTCAATTGACAGCAATGACTAATGAAGACATCAGCGTATTTCCAATGACTAATGAAGACATAAACGCATTTCAATTGACAGCAATTACATCGACGAACGTCGATGGCGTCCCTTAGCGACACTACTAAAGGGTTTCAAAAGGCTTCGAAAAAAACCAAAAAAATTAGATGATGTCATTAGTAAAAAGATGAAACCATTAGTAAAAAAGATGATGACATTAGTAAAAAAGATGAAAACATTAGTAAAAAATTCGGGTTTACTGTACTTACTAACTATGTGGTGATATGGATATGTTAGTTTGTATTGGAATGAACGTGATTTCGATAGTGATTTACTGTACTTACTCGCTATAGTGATACAGGTGATTTAGATATAGTTTTGTATTGGAATGAACGTGATATCTACAGTGAATTACTGTAAAAAATTCTTACCGACTATTGTGGTGATACAAGTGATTTAGATATGGATATGTTAGTTTTGTATTAGAATGAGCGGGTTTACTGCTATATGATACATGTGATTAGAGTTATGTTAATTATAATGAGTGACTATAAAAATTCTGTTACTGTACTTACAGACTTGTGATTGACATAAGTGGCAGGGTTGTGAGCTTACATAGTCTAATGGGAAAAAGTCATTAGACAAATATATGTCTATTGATAGTTTTTTATATGTTTAATGGTGTCTAATGGCTGTCTATTCACAACCCTGTAAGTGGTAATCAAATTATTATTTACTTATAAGCTTTTTTATGTTATTAAAATTTACAAATACATATCATACTTACATCTCAATTAATTCATAAGCTTTTTTTGCCCATACGTCATTTGGTTTAATTCTTAATCGTTTCTTCAAGTCAGTGACTGACTCATTGTACCTTTTCATCATAAAATTAATTTCTTCTCGATATTTTAATGCTATTATATTATTTGGTTCAATTTCTAGCAATCTAGTTAAATCTTCAAATGCTTTATCATATTTGCCTATAATATAATATATTTTTCTCTGTAGCTTAATTCAAATATATTACTTGGATCTTTTTCTAGTGATTTTGTTAATTCATCGGTTAAATTAACAAGCATATTTTCATATCCCCATAATAAAATAATCCTTTTCTTGATATTCCAATGTTTTAATGCATTATTTGATTTTTTACTAATGTTTTCATCTTTTTTACTAATGTCATCATCTTTTTTACTAATGGTTTCATCTTTTTACTAATGACATCATCTAATTTTTTTGGTTTTTTTCGAAGCCTTTTGAAACCCTTTAGTAGTGTCGCTAAGGGACGCCATCGACGTTCGTCGATGTAATTGCTGTCAATTGAAATGCGTTTATGTCTTCATTAGTCATTGGAAATACGCTGATGTCTTCATTAGTCATTGCTGTCAATTGAAATATATGTATATTGACAGGGTTAAATTCTAAACAAGCTAAAAATGATTAAACCCTTTGAATAAATTTACCGAAATATTTAAACCTTTCGTTGCCGAAGTCTTCTACTGATCCGCCTTGCGATCTAAATCCAACGCAAGGGTATAGATTGCCTTCCAAATCGTTAGGTAGATGGCACGTAATTCCTTAATATTTTATAATTATTGAATTTGTCTATTTACTTTAAAAAATACAATTACAGTTTCTAAAATGTTGGTTACCCAAGTTAATTCCATTTTTAGTATAAAACACTATCTTATTTCTAAAATTTAGATAGCATCCAACTATATCGCCAGTAGTATATAATGGCCCATATGGCCCACCACTTCCTGAGCAAAAAGAATATCCGTCGTCGCCATGGTAACCACCCCCATGATTCATTTTGCTTATTTTCCTTATTTTTCTTATATTCTTGTCCTAAAGTATATGATATATATGTTTAATCTGTAATATATAATAAGAAAATAAAATAAAAATTTGCTATTACCAGGCATGAGCATATAATCTAAATCGTCTGTTTTTTCATCGCTTTGTTTTGTGCAATATCCAATTCCAATCATTCTATTAAGAAAATAGAAGTAAAAAATTATAAAAAAAAAAAATCACAAAAACAAACAATAATTTATGATGCGAATAATTATTAAAATTACCCATTTTTTCCTTTTTTTATAATTTTGATTTCAAAGTACAATATCCCACACTCTGAAGGGATTGGATGATTTGCTCGAACGACAGCAGCTTTACAGTCATCAGGATCTTTAGTTAAAAGTTTTTTAATAAATTTCTTTAAATGTCAATTATTACAATAACATATTAAATATGTTTCATATTACCTGTATAATTCACCCTAAGTCCATTTTGATCTATGTCAATAAACGGTGATTTATCTTTAATACCCCATGAAGTCGGCAAAATAATACCATTGTATGAAGTTATTAATTCTAAATCTTCCATAAAATTAAGATTCAATTAAGTTCCTTCGTTTTAAACGATCAATCGAACACAAAGTAAATTTATAGAAATATTGATTTCTTGTCGAACACAACGTACTATTTATATATGCGCATTTGTATACCGATACAGTATCCAATACAGCCTTTTTAAATGATCGGAGTTTGTCAGTATGTACGTACGTACGTGCAAGAAATCTAGAAAACCACAATTACGTTTTATAGACAAAATATAAACAATTTGTATTTCCTAACTTTGTTGAAGCCGATAATTTAATTTTAATGTGTAACTTGATGATAACCAAGCAGATAATCAAGTAGCAAATAAAAATCTAAATTATCGACTTCATTAAAGTATTTACCTTATCGATGTTAATGATTTAGGAAATATTTGATTCAACGCTTATATTTTGTTTCTTATAAGGTATATAATTGTAGTTTTTAGGTTTTGCATTGTACGTAAAATATATTAAAATTTAATGCTAACTGACAAATATAATGTATTGGAATTGCTAATAAGATGAAAATTGTAAATCTTAAAAAAAAAAAAAAGGTAGCAGCTTATGCCAAAATCAATCTATGCTGAAATTTTAATCTATTTTAATATGAAATTTTAAAGCTTATAGGATTTAGCATTTTAATGCTTATAAGTTAACTAGAGTAATTTTTATACCTTTTTTAAAATAAAAATAATAAAACATCTATATATTGAGCCACACAAATTGATTTTTCATTTTGCATTATCCGTGCATCTAATTCTTAGCAGGTGGTCAGATTTTATTTTTGAATTATTATAAAACGCACCTATGGTGTTTTAGCACCTATGTATAATTTCTTTTAATAAAATTTAGGGTTAGGTTTAGGAAATTAAGAATTTTTTTTTTTATATAATATATTATAGAGCTTCTATAAGGGCCCGATCTCAGTTCTCGTGAGGTTTTTGGGGTCCTGAACATTTTTACTTAGAGGATCTGATCCCGTTTACTTAGTACGTTTTTGAGAAACGGGACCTGTGGTGTTAAAACACCATAGGTGCGTTTTAGTAAAATCCTTTTTTTTTTATGAGTGTCGCCAAGCAAAACAGGCATTTTCGATTTTTGCTGGCTCCGCTTACTGACCCAAATTAAGTACACCATATTACAATACAAACATATTGCAGGTAATATTATTAATTAGGATTTTTCATAGTGGAATTTTCATATCTCACGCCATATTAAATTATTATAAAAATTGATTACGCTTTTAATTCCTTACGTAATATCTAACATTCTTTAATTACATAAAAACAAAATATTTAATGAAAGGTGTCGTTATATCAGAATTTTATCATACTAATTAAAATATTTTATGGCTTACCGGGTGTTTCCTATCATACAATTTGCAGGTTTTTTTTTTTACAAAAATTTAGCTCTTGTGTAAGTAAACATAATTTATATGAAGTAAAATAATATTTGCTAATTGCTTAACGTGCTTTTTAAAGTAACACCACTATTTTTTTATTTTAAGTATATAATACGTATAATTGATAAGGTGAAAATTAAAATTTTAAAAAAATGACAGTTATTAGTTTAAATAGTATTTAAGAAGATTTTTGTAATTATTCTTATTCACACAATGTTTATTCGTTCAAGAGCTCTTTTGTAAAAAAAACCTGGTCAACAATTTTTACTACTGCATATGGTCTGCATTATGTTTGTAAATCGTAGGATAGTAAGCCATAGCATATTTTAATTAGTAGGATAAATTCTGCCGTTGTTACGATATTAAGACACCTTTTATTAAATATTTTGTTTTTGCAGAATTAAAATTACGTGAGGAATTAACGGCGTTGTAGATTCTAATTTTTTATCAAAATTGATACTTTTGCACACTTCATGTAATCACGTGACTGAATCGAATGGCCTCGCTTAAATCAGAATCAAGTAAATTAGGTAAATATTTTTTATTTTGATTCTATATATTTTTAGAATTAAAATAAAAAAAATCCATTGAATTTGGTTTAGTGGTTATCGAGAAACCTTTACTAGAAGTTTTAGAAAAACTGAAATATCGAAAAAAAAACAATCAGTAAAAAATTTTTTTTGAAACTTTGACCGATTATTTCTAAACAACTTTCTATCCAAATTCAATGAAATATTTTAAAATTTGTTTCTGAGTTTGAAGGATTAAAATAAAATAAAATTTATTGAATTTTAATAGATAGATGTTGAGAAATATTGATTAAAGTTAAAAAAAAGTTTTTTGGGGGCTTTTTTCATATTTTTTTTTGTGAAAACTTTTAGTACAAGGAATTTGTTGACGTAGAAAGTAACTTAAGATTCTCTTTGAATACTTGATTAAATTACAATTTTGCCATGCCGGGATAAAAAAATACTCACTTAGCATTTTTACTATAAAAGAAAAATCGGCTACTATTACCCCTTGTTGAGTAGTTTTATTATGTAAATCATCGTTGGTATCGCCTAATTTTTGAATTTGTTCGTCCTTGGCAGCGAAAGCGGCTTCATATTCCCTCTTTTCTTGGGTTAAATAATTTGAATTATTTAATAAATTTTATCAAGTCACAAATATCTATTATTATAATAAACACAATTGACGCTTAAAATAAATATTTTCTGCTAAGTAAATTTATTTCTTGATACTTTATAACCCATCAATTAAGGCACTTAGAGCGCCCTTAATTTCTCAACCTTTGTAATAATACAGTGTACAATACTTAAACTACACAAACTTTAAAAGCCAATACCTTTTGTTCTAAAAAAGATATTTAAAAAAAGGAAGTTGCTATCTTGTAGCTTAATCAATTTACTACAACTTAGTGGCTTTTTTTTAAAAAAACCACAATAACTTTTTAAAATATATGGCTTTAATAATATAGTATTTTTATATGGTCACATAAAAAGCTAAAAATAGAACACATTAAGTTCAATAAAATTTTAAAAAGAAATTTAGCCAATCAAAATTAAGCAACTTTAAAAAATCAAAAATCAACATTTTATAATAAATAAAGGTTTGAATTTTAAATTTTAAAAACCGGACAAATGTAGTCTTTTAAGTGTCACGCATTGTAATAATAATAATAATAATAATAATAAATAAATAAATAAATTTGATAGATTGTCAGTTTGAACAGGATCGCTTTTGGGAAGTTCAACTGTATAACAAATTACAATAAAAGAATTACTAAATAAATGAAAGGTAATTAATAGAAATAAAAATGTAATAGAAATACGATGATAATAAAGAATTTTTATAATATCAGACAAATTATTTAAATTTACCTAGATAAATTCGCAACTTTGTTCAGCATAAATTAATTTATTACTTTTTTTCTTCAAAAGTAATATCATTAGATAATATATCAATTTCAAATTCTTTTGTTTTATATAGTTCTATTTAAAAAGATAGTGTTAGTATTATTCTATTCACAAAAATGATATTAGTAAAAACCAAATATTATATAAATTCTTCTATGATTAATCAACCAAACTATGAGACCTAGTTATATAAAGTAAAACATGTGTGGCTTTTAAAGGAACGCTTGTATCTTAAAATTTTTCTATAAGGCCATCTTTCACGTTCTGATAAACAATTTTTTATAAAATTTTGATGTTTCATTTGACAAATGATCTGATCGATCAATTTTACAGTAGCGATTTCTAATGATAATAAATTATAAATCTTATAGTGCTAAAAAAAAAAATAACTTACCATTTAAAATTTTATCCAATAATTTGCTTGTATGAAAAGCACGTTTATTTGTTTCTGGAATTGAATATGATCTTAAGCTATATACTTTTAACAATTCATTGTAATACTCTTCATTAATAAAAAGCCTTTTATATTCTTCTTTAATAGCATGACGGAGTTCTGTTGCTGTTGGTCTTTCATAGAAATTTTTATTCCAGCATTTTTCAATTAATGATTTGAAGAATTCGGGTATATGTGCCAAAATAGGTGGTCTTGCTCCATTACAAATTGCTAATGCTAAATGAACATCATGTGGTTTTTCATCAAAAGGTGGATATCCTGAAAAAATTTCCCATATTAATATCCCAAAACTATAGATATCTGATTCCTTAGAAAATTTTTTATTTATAAATACTTCTCACCAAATAATTCATCCTCAACTGGCCCGCACATTCCTAAATCTGTTATAAAGGCTTCTACACCATCATATATTAAAATATTACCACTATGTAAATCTTTGTGTATTAAGTTTAACTTGTGCATTTCACAAATACAATCACTTTTATCACCGATAAATCTAATTTTTTGGTTTAAACTAAGTATTAAATTATTATTTCTCAAATATTCTCTTATGTTTCCATCTTGGATTTGCCTCATGACCATCATATATTTATTATTATCCGGGTCTTTTGTTATGCCGCAACAAGTATCTTATCAATTTATGATAATTTTGGGCCTAAATTATATTAGTGGTAATTAATAAAAATTATTATAATTTACTATAAATATTAATGAATCGGATAATTACCTTTTTTAAATAATTTTTTCCTATTTTTTCTGAATTATTAAAAGATTTTAATACATCATCCGGAGCTCCAAATCTAGTAAACCAATTTTTTCTTCACTCCAATTATTAATCGGCCCACTAGTCCATATAGCTGTATAAACTTTACCAAATCCACCTTCAGCTAAAAATTTTACATCTTTAAACAGGTCAAATGGTATCCATTCCATAATACAATTTGGAAAAGGTGTTACTAACTGACATTCTCGAATAAAATCGTCAATAATTTATTTCCTGATGTCCATTTATTAAATTGACTTTCAGTGATTTTTTAATGCAATTTGCGCAATACATATTTGAATATTTAACTGAATTACATCCTAAACATTCTATTTATTCACCAATTCTATCTCTCACTTTTCGACTCTCAAAAAACTCAATTGACCATTCTTGAATAATTTTCTTATCTTGTTCTGTTCATTATTTATTTCTAGATAACAATCTTGCAAAGCCATCGGCCCAAGATTCAAGATCAGATGAAAGAACACCTGATATATGATACATTTCCATAAAAATTTTATGTAAATTCTTTGAACTATTCATTTTTAATGATTTAATTAAAAGGTTTAAAAAAAATTAAAGTTATATGATTCTTTTAATCCATACATATATTTATTGCCAATTTAAATTTTTTTTTTTTTTGGTTTGACAGAAATAACGAATTTGAATCTGTGCCCTGTCTGCAGACCTTCATGTGTAACTAGGGATATTAATAATGTAAGCTACATTGGTAAAGATGATTAAGCCATAATTATAAATCACCAAATAAAAATATTTAATGTATATGTCGTACTATATGTATGTCGGAATGAAAATTTGGTTCAAAATAAATTGATTCTAAATACACTTAAGTTGAACCGAATTTTAAACTCACTCAAATTATTAAAGAATTTCGAACTAACAAAGTTGATTCTGAATCTAACCCACCTAGCAAGCATCAAAATTAACAGTGCTTTTTTTTTAAAAAAAGGTTACTTTAGAATACAGTACAGTGAAAAATTCATAGTTGGATATAATAATATAGGAATAGGAAATCGAAAAATGCTTCTGGCTATAATAATATCTGGATATAGAGATACTACATAAAGATCTTAATATCATTTTTAATTATCAGTGAAATGAATAAGAAATCATTTATATGAGAAAGTGAAAATTCACTCTTAGTAGTAAGACAAAATAGACTTTTCCTCCCTTTTTACTAGACGTCCGAAGACTTTGAAATTATTATAATCAGGGGCATTGTATACATATTGAATAAACGATTCGTTGTATATCTACTCTTTCTGAATTTGAAATATTTCATATTCTGTTACACAAAAGAAAGATTGGCCACTTTGGCTTCTAATTGCTTTTTCATATGAATGATGATTACAATAACATTGATTATTTTGATTGGAGTTATCACCCATATGAATATCATAACCACCTCCAAAAGTTGGTCCATAACTAAGATTACAATAAATCGCATGTGATGGATCATTTAAAATAGAAGATTGAATAGCACCATTTTTCAATGAAAAAATAAAGCTATCATTGCATTTCACATAATTTCCAATTGATTTATCCCATTGGATTGGATTATATCCACCAAGAATTTCATCAGTGCCATTAACCTTCATTACTACAACAGTGTTTGCTTGTCCATTACATAAATTCCAAAATGATTGAGCAGTAAAACCATCTCTTGTTCCACGGAGAAGTAATTTAAATTTATATGGATTATTAGTTACTGAATATGCTTCAGTTTTCTTATCAACCCATGATGCTATTTCTGCCGCATGAACTTCATTGATTACTGTTGAAGGAAATGGTTCAGCTACTCTGGATGGTAATGTTGGTATTAAAATTTTACGAGGTGGAAGAATTGTTGATAATATTTGGCTATCCGGAATAAGAAATTTTTGGAACATATCATCCCAAAGATTTTCTTCAAGAATATTTTTATATGGTTTCACTTTGTCAAAAATATCTTTATTTGACATTTGGAAATAACGGATAAGAGGTAAACAGTTCCGTAAAGTAGTCTTTAAGGTTAGAAAGTTTTCATGAGACCAATCTTTAGTGTCATTTGGCAAATCTGGACTTTGTGCAATTCCCCATCTGATAACATGATCCCAAATCTTCCCTTCGTCCATCTGTAAATCATCTCGTTTAATGAGTGAAATTAATGCATTTTCTGGAAGAGAGGTAAAATCTTCAGACTCAAAAATCTTATCAGGATACTTTGCCAAAATATCGTTACTCCATTTTTGTAATTCTTGAAGATTTTCATTTTGGAAAATTTTACGATAAATGCGAGCAAAATTTAAACGAAGCCAGTGTGCATTTTCTTTAATTAGCAGTTCTTCAAGATGTTTTGCCAATTCATCAAGATTAAATTCATAAGAAACAAGAATGAGATCAAAAATAAATGATGCGCCTTGATCTTTTTCTAGCAAAGCCACTCCTCCGTAAATATATCTATTGAATTGGTAAGTTAAGTTTAATAATTCAAAATTAGTTTTCGTATACTCATGAACTTGTAAGATAGGGTTAATTTAAGAACTCACCAAAATAATATAACTTACCTAATAATTATTTCAAATTGTTGAATAGAAACATTTTTTAAATTAATCGTTTTAACATTATTTTTATCTTTATTAATATTTGCTAATACATTACGGAAATACAAAGATCTATATCTTAAAATATTGGTATGTGCATGAAATATCTTATTATTTGGTGGCTCTCCAACATTAATAAGTACATTAAAATCTTCTTTATCGTCAAGAAGTTCAAGGCAATCATTTGAGAGTTTTTCTAAAAGCTTTGCCATTCTGCGCTATTACAAGTAAGTTGCACTACATTCTGTATTTATATACAATTACCTCTGTTACACTAATATCGCAATTTTAGCCCTTATATGACACAAATAATACGCAGAAGATGACTGCAGATCCTTTTAAATTTATTAACGTTAATTGCTAATTCGTCTAAGATGGATAGTATCATATGCGTACATTACTATTAAATTTATTATAATTATGAAATCTTCTTTTCCTCCATAGCTAACTATTTTTTTTATACATTTGATTTCTAGCAAAAAGTGTAGAGAACATATACCGATACAGTTGACCCGGTATGCATGGTGGACTTTGTATCAGGTTTAAGAGGTTATCGGATTTGAAAACAGTTTTATATAGCTGGAATGGTAATTTTTTACCGGTTTTGACAGGTTATCGGTTTTGACAGGATCGGTTTTGAGAGGGTCGACTGTAGTGTAAAAAAATTATTAAAATTGGTTTAGTAACTCGTAAAATATTTATATTTAGATTGTGTAACTTAATAGAATTTTCTTAATGAATGAGGAAAAAAAACTTTCAAACCTATATAAAAAATATAGTAATTTGCGCTATAGTTACTATATAATAATACTATCGTTCTTATGTGGATTGCTAATTAAATATTTTAATTCTACAAACTTTTTTTAAAAAAAATTTTAAATATTTTTCGAAAAGGATGCGATTGTATTATTTAAATTTCAAATGAAAAATTTATCAACTACTAGGCCAAATTTAATGAAAATTGGTTTTGTTTTGATTCTATTAGTCTTTATAATTTGAATAAAAATTTATTAAGTGGTCGTCGATAAACCTTCAATTATATAGCTTTGAAAAAAGTAGCCTCATATTTTTGGAATGTTGATTACAAATAGGTATAAAATCTAAATTTAAGAATCTATATAAAATAATACTACATTATATTTTAATTATATACCTAATCATCATAAAACTATTATATATTCGCATAACTCCATATTTTTGAAAATGTACAAGAACCCGACTTATAGAAGACATGCTAACACCTAAGTGTTTTATAATTTTTTGAGTTGATAGGCTTTCTAGATTTTTTCAATAATTTGCTAGCGAATGTAGTTTGAAATATATATCATATTTTTTGAATTCAACAAGAGATGTGCATAATTTTATATTTATATTATCCACCTAATTTTAATTACGTATATTACATCAATTTTTATTGAATTTATTATGCCGAAACATCATTCGGCTAATTTTTTATCAGGTATCCCAAGAATAATGAAAACAGCTGTAAAAAATTTTTTAAGAATTCACTCAACTATTATAGCTGTTTTCATAAATCTGGTAAATAATTGACCGAATGATTATTTGGCCGATTCTGATCCGGCAGTGATTTGTGATTAGTGATATTGTGATAATGGTATATATTTTTTGCGAATGTATTCTGAACGGTACTACAATGTCAACACATCCAAAATTAAGATTTCACTTGAATGCATATCCGTTCCTGCTAATCAACAAATCTTGACAAAAAACATAAAAAGGGTTCTGAATATAAGATAAACTTTCATAATAAATATATTACAAAAGAGACACTAATAAAAAAAGTTTCAATATGAATAAGAATTTATTGATTGAACTAAACTAAAGAAAATATAACTCAAATTATAATTCCAAACAACTAAGTTTTCAATATTTGTCAAAACTGCTTTGAAAATTATAACCAAATAAAGTCATAATAAAATCTATAAAAGTATTTTATTTAAGATATTGAAACAGTTGATCTAACAATTAAGGAGTCTTTAGTTTATAGTAAATATTTTAAAATGTCTAGCTTGTCTAAAGTAACTACTGTGGAATCTGAATACGTATCCAACTTTGTCTTATGTAATAGCAACTGAATCTAATATAATATCCAATTTATCTGAAGTGCAAAAATAAATAGCAAGATATGCACATTATTACGTAATCGTTCATTGCCGAAATCAAAAACTTATCAAATCGGCCAAACAACCCTTCGGTCAATTTTTTTACAAGATGTCCCAAAATTTATGAGAATAGCTTTTTACAAAAATTTCAAAATTTGACCCGGCCGGGTTACGAGAACCAATTAATTAATTTTGCATGATATAATTCTCATATCCATCCATCTTTTAATAAATATTACTGGTAAAAATTTTTTAGAATGAAAATGTGATAGATTATAAACGATATCGCTTAATATTTTTAGTATAATTCTACTTCATTTTTAAATATATCTTTAAGATTTTCATGTAATGATCCAAATCTTGCGTAATTAATTAATCACTAAAATAAAATCTCCACTATTTTTATTCATTGGTATTTTCCAAATTCATGATATGCCTTTAACTAAAAAATTGTCAAATTATATACATTTAATTCATAAGCAAGATAAGTAAAAAAAAATACCTCGTTTAAAAAAAGTTTTTTTTTTATTTTTATGTGAATCTTCTATTTTTTGACTGCAACTTCTTCGTATGTTTCATATGATGTTTTATGTGATGCTTTATATACTATGGAGAATCCTCCTTTACCTACTTTAATTTTTTTAAATTTATCGTATTTTATCCATCGGAAATAAATAAAAGTTTTATAATCATCAATTTCAACACCAATTGCATCGAAATAACAACATCAAACATTATATGTTCCAATAACGTCCTCCAGTTCTGCAGATTTTTTACAATTAAATGAATGTTTTATGTTCATTTTTTTAACCTATTT